GGAGGAAGGAGAAGAGGGAAGGGGAAGAGGAAGGATAAAGGTAGACAAGAAAAAAACTAGGCTTACTTAGCTCTAAGATGTGGTGACCTTCAAGCTTAACCTCATCAGCTCTCCACTCTTATGCCCAGGCTCAACCCGTGAGACCACCTTGCAGTTTCACCCGTGAAAGGAAATAGTTTGGATGCGAGAACTAAATAAGCCAGCTCAGACACCTCTACTTAATATACAGCACCTTATTAATACTCTGAGAATTTTATACATCCATATGATGTATTTTGATCATAATCACTCCCCACTCCTCCCCCAACCCCTCCCAAGTCTACTCTCCCTTCCCCAACCTCCCCCAACTCCGTGTCCTTTTTGTTTGTTTTAAATAATCCACCGAGTCAAAGCTGTGCTACCCTATGCTCACTGGTGTGGAACTACCCACTGAAGCATGGTGGACTATCAGGGACCACACCTTTACAAAAAAAACTAACTCTCCTCCCCCCAGAATCCATCAACCTCTAACAGGTCCTCAGGAGTGGGCGGCGCGTGCCGAACACTGACTGGCTTGGTTTGTCGGGGAAACTAGACAGGGACCACTGTCAGGGAGGGCTAAACAAAACTCTTGAAGGAAGAGGAAATAGCAGAGCATAGGTGGCAGGAGGGAGAAGGGGGGGATAATTGGGACAGAGGTTTAAATTGGGAGAGGGATGGAAGAGTAAGGCCCGGGGAAGCCATGAGGTGAGGGATAACCAGCAGTGAGAGTAATGTAAGTAACAACGGTAGGTTCACATGCCAAATTCTCTCTGCCATCTCAGGGTGGGTCACAGAGCCTCAGAGAGGACCACAGCTCTCCTGACGCCTGGAGTTTAGCCTTGTGAAATCCATGTCACGCTGTAGACCCCCCCACTCCCCCACCCCCATCCCCCCACCACCCCACCTCCCCCACCACCACCCCCCAGAATGGGAAGACCAAGTTTACATTACTACGAGACACCGAGTGTTTGGTCATTTGTTGGGAGTGTTATAGCCAAGGAAAGTCAGCTGCCTTCCGCAGAGGTGGAGCCTTGGGGGGGGGGGGGTGTACTGCTCTTGCCATGGCTACAAAGCCTTCTTTTTTTTAAATAGCCCCACTTTGCAGCCAGGGTGAATTGTTCCAAGCATAAGCTTGAGTCACTGAGTCAGTATCCCAGGCACCTACATGAAAAACACAGGTGTAACTGTAGTCCCAGGGGATTGGAGACGCTCTGAGCGCTGCATACACAAGGCACACAGACATACGTTAGTAAAATTAAATTGCTTAAGGTGTGTGTGTGCGCGCGCGTGCGCACATGCGCCTGCATAACCCATACTGCGCATAACAGGAAGTCGGAGGGCAGCTTGAGGAAGCCACTTCTCTCCTTCTGCCATGTGGGTCCTAGGGGCTGAACTCACGTCCTTAGCCTTGACGGCAGGTGCCTTTACTGGCTGAGACACCCCCTGACAACCTTGGATTAATGCTGACACAAAACTACAAGACTTTGGGGATTAGGTAAAACCTCCAAACGCTGTTAGTCACAGAGAGCAGGCCGTGGGCTAGCTAGTTATTCAAGGTTCTGATTTTAGTTGCTAGAAACCAGCCCTGGCCAGCTGAAGAGAAAACATCAGAACCATAAAGAAAGTATCGGAAGGCTCACGAAATTCAGCAGAGAGGGACGAGGCAAGGCCACTGAAGTTAACAGTGGTAGCCTTCAGTAAACAGTCGTGTGGATGCCACAGTAAATCTCAGTGGAGACATCACTTTTGGAAACCCACGCACTCCCCAACCTGATAACTCACCAGCTGCCACCCTGAGTAACCTCTACCTCTGGGTCACGGGACTGGAAATCGCAGTAGAGGTTACGTGCTGCCCTCTGGTGGTTGACTGTAAACAGACAGCCTTTCTTCGGTTCCAGCTTCCTCAGTGAGCTGGGAAGGAGGCACCGCCCACCCCACCCCACCCTCGCCCCACCCCGCCCCACCCCGGCCCCCACCTTCAGCCACAGGACATGGCAAGTGCCAAGCGGTTTCACATGCCAACTCCCCTTCAAAGGGTTTAAGGTGGCTTTCCCTTTTCCCCGGGGACGTCCTCACTAACAAAGTTCCGCTAGTTCTTACTAGACGTTTGGATCTATTAGTTTGTCACTTCCATGCCCAAAGGCCTGGTTAGAAGCCCCGGGGAACCAAGACTATGATGTAGACCTCTTGGTTTCCCCTCGCATGACCATTCTACCCCCTCTGCACTGTTCTGAAGACTGCAACTGCCCTGTTTCTGTGTAGGGCTAGGAGGCTGAGGGACCGGGCTGTTGCCGTGACAACCAAAAAAGCACAGCTTTATCCAAGACAACGGGATGAATTTCTTGGACTCTCATACTCCTCTGAGGAGGGGCAACGCAATCACTCTCCATTAATCTTTATCCCTTTGTAAACATAACTCCGAGATGAAAACATTGATAACACAGCTAAACAAGCCTTTGCTGGGCTTGACATCCCTGGGTATTCTTTTGGAGAAGATGATTGCCACAGGGACAGGTCCCAAGTGGAGGGGGGGGTGCGCTTCTGTTTGGAAGCTGCAGTGAGGGTCTCTGGGCAGCAGGACAGCGGGAGCCACGGTGTCTTTGGTGAGAGAATGAAGAGAAGACAGGAGGGAGCCCAGGCGGCCAGTCCAGGTCTGGAGGCTCCCAGAGACTTCATTATGGTGCAGCCGGCTGGCGCGGTTACACTGTGTCTCGGCTGGACAGGGCAATTAACAGCTCCCCGAGATTCTAATGAGTGGTTTTCTTGAGGTTTAAGCTGCCTGCAGAGTTTCCCAAGGGAACTTGTTCCTGGAAGCCAGTTCCTCAGAAGTGGCCTCCCCTGGGTGCGCCAAGTCCGAGGCTACTGGATTTGGACAGCTGGTTGGAAGCCTAGACTTCTAGGTCCAAGACCAGCTTGTAGCTGTCAACAGCAGCACCATATAGTTCTAACTCCCACATTCCTTGTTGGGACCAGACACATCCCTTTCTGAAGTAGCTATGAAACCTCTTCTGAGATTCTCCCTCCTCCAAAGATTCACCATGCCTTTGTCCCTCACTCGACTGGGAATGGATACAGTCCTCAAGGCAGTGTTTATAGCTGTCCAAGAACCCAAATCCAGTCCTGTATCAGAATTTGAGCCAACCTGACCATCTCCTGTAGAACTTCAATTTGAGACAAAGAGAAAAATCTGTTCCTGGGCAGTAGCAAGAAACATGGAACTAGAAGCTGGAGAGAGAGGGGCCCAGTCTGAAAGAGAGAAAGACCTACACTTGGCCACCTGCAAACACTCAGATCTCCCTCATAACATACCCGTGGCCTGAGGGTACCCACACACATCTTCACACATGCACAGTGGGTGATGGAGAGTTGTCACCCAACCCACTCAAATCAGAGGTTCCCATTTTGTCCTCATGTGAGATCCAGCGTGATTCAAAATGTGTCTTCATGTCTTTGTTTTCTTTTGTCTGTGAAACAAAAGGGCTAGACTCTAGAAACAATGGGCTCCTCAAGAGGAGTCAGTCTCCTCTAGAATTTCATTCTTTAGAGTCCCTGGGGCAGTAAGAAAGACACTTTTTTTTTCCACCCAGGGATGGTGAAAGAGGGTGAGAGACCTTTGGTCCTGTGGCAAGTACTGTCATTCATTTCCAGGGACCCTGTTGTAGAATATTAGTCAAAGATGTGTTACATTTGCTTATGCTGTGGAACATTTGTTTAATGATGTAAAGGTGTGCTGCATTCTCTTATGTTGCATTTGTTTAACTCTGTGAAGCTGTGTTACTTTGCCTGTCCAAAACACCTGGTTGGTCTAATAAAGAGCTGAATGTCCAATAGCTGGACAGGAGAAGGGGTAGGCAGGGCTGGCAGGCAGAGAGAATAAATAGAAGAAGAATAATAGAGATGGGGGAGAAAAAAAAGGAAGAGAGGAGGACATCAGGACCAGCCACCTGGAATAAGAAGGGAAAGATATACAGAAATAGAGAAAGGTGAGATCCCTAGGCAAAAGAGAGATGGGATAATTTAAGCTAAGGAAAGATGGCTAGAAACAAGCCATTCATAAGAAAGAATAAACCTCCATGTATTTATTTGGGAGCTGAGCGGTGGGCCTCCCAAAAGAGCCAAAGAGTAAAAACAACCACGGGTGCTTATGAGGTACTATTTCCTGCACCTATAGCTCTTGATCCTCGGACTCTTCCTATCCCTAGCTGTGTAAGCAGCTCCATCCCAACCTTCAATGCCATATGGTCTGGGATATGGACACTGGTTCAGATTATTGGAGGTTCTGGGAGCAGCTTAAATAGAAAAGCTTACCTCCTTTCAATGAGGGCAAGAGAGGATCGCCCACGAAGTTGGGGGCTGTCTTTCTAGAGGAGTAGTTCTCCGTGAGAGTTTGTTCCCCATCCCCCATGCAGGGAACACTGACGCTGTCATGATTAGTGGTTGGATGCTGCAAATGTTCACTGAGCAGAGCCCCACAGATGCTATGGACATTCTGCAAGGCACCCAGGACCACACCTTCCATCCCAGCAAGGACAGGGCCAGCCCAAAGGTCCATAGTGCCCAAGTCCAAAGTTGAGAAGCCCAGCACAAGAAGGGCTCCTGGTATCATGACTTGGTTCCAATCACGCAGCCTCTAAAACCTGGTTCAGCTAGAGGAAAACCTGATTGGCTCAACTTGGTATGGCCCTGAAGGGATAAGTCATCTAATGTAGACTTGAGGTGAGGGTCCTTTCTCTCTTATTTTGAATGTTCCTTTATGTAAAAAAAATAAAAATAAATGACTTCTTGTGTTCCATGCAATGGCCCCAAATCATTGACGTCAAAAGACAAAGCAGACTAGCCCTTCCAGTCTGCTTCCCTACCCTGTTAGGTAGAGACATCTCCTGCCCTGCAGGTCACCATTAAATCTGGCATGTTTGGCTTTGCCACGTTTTTGCTTAACGGTTCACGTGTCTGTCTCTCCCAAAAGACCATACCCTATGTGGATCAAAAGTGGATCTTATTTAACGCTACGAAACCCAGGTCAGTGTTCTGGTTACAAAGCATAACATTGCTACGGGACAAACACCCCCAAAACTTACTCATTCCCAACATCAGGCTTTCCCCTCGATGACTGTGCGAGGAGTCATACTGTTTTTACACCATCTTGTGTCAATGACTTGGTGGCATTCACACTGGAGAAGAAGCTGGGCCAGAGTCCCAAGACAGGTTCTCACATAGCCAGCCCCTCAGTGGGACAACAGCAGGACTGGAATCCTCTTTACCCTTCCCCCCAGCCTCAGGTCTTCTCAATATGATCTCTCCAGAGCAGCTGTTTCCTGAGCCGCAGATCAGCCCTCAGAATGCAAAGGTTTCAAGGGGGATGTAGGCAGAGACTAAGAGCCTGCTTGAGACCTCCTGGAAATTTCTGGGCATCGTGTCAGCTGCATCCTGTGGGCCAAGCAAGTCACGAACAATGACCATATTGAAGTCGCCGAGAATGACCACATTTAAGGGGAGAGGAGCTAGGCCACACATCACACGTGAGGGGGCAGCATGTGAAAACAGAAAAGAAACCGAGAGTCACATCCTTTTAGGGAGTCTCCCACAGCCTGACTTAGTAACTGTTCAAGTAAACATAAAACGAATTCATGAACAGGATAATGCATTAGCCCCACTGCTTTTTACCCAGTTGGCAGAACAGTTAAGTGAAAAACAATCTCATTAAAATTGCCTTCCCAGTTATCAGATACTGTGAAGAAACGGGGTCTCTGTTGGGAGGAAACTTACTCTATATAGGAACGGTTCCTTTGCCACTCTTCCACACAGCCGAGGGGCTGTGACAGACATCAGGTGTCTCTAATCCATCGCATCCCCCTCGGACGAGGCACTCTCGGAACCCTTCTCAACACAGCATTCTAGGCTCCGACTACTAACTTGATCAACGTCGCTGAGAGACTTGTGATCCTCAGACTCGGATGTCTGAGATGCACTGCACAGGCTCGCGCGTCCAACACTGGGTCATCGGATGGCAGCGCTGTTCGGGGAGGCTGGAGAATCTTTGGGGCACGGCTCGTGCTGGCAGGAGTAGCAGCTCACTGGTGGGCAGAGCGTGGAGGATTAACACCTCCTTCTGTCCTTGGTCTACATTCTCTGCTCCTTGCTCTACTGCCAAGACTTGAGGAGATCCAGCCACATGCTCCCAGCATCACAACCTTTGCCATGCCTTTCCTAACCAAGAACGCGTGAAACTGTAAGTTAAAACAAGCACTTTCTCTCTCTCTCTCTCTCTCTCTCTCTCTCTCTCTCTCTCTCTCTCTCTGTTTTTTTTTTTTTTTGAGACAGGGTTTCTCTGTATTGTTTTGGAGGCTGTTGGACCAGCCCGGCCTCGAACTCACAGAGATCCGCCTGCCTCTGCCTCCCGAGTCCTGGGATTAAAGGCGTGCGCCACCAACGCCCGGCAAGCCCTTCCTCTCTTTAAGTTGTTCTGTCGGCGCGTTTTGTCATAGCTACAGGAAAGGTACCTAATGTGCTCTTTGCCTAAATCCCTATTATTAAACCATCCTCCTGACACCCAGGGTTTGGTTTCTTTAACACATACATACATGTATACTATAGGCTACTTCTTTCTTTCTTCCTTCCTTCCTTCCTTCCATCCTTCTTTCCTTCTTTTCCTTCTTCCCCCTCTTCCTTCCTTTCCTTTGGGAAATAAAGTTGAAGCCCGAAGAAAGATGAAGTGTCACATACTATTCACCAAGGTCGTATCTATAATGGGGAACAGAAACTGACGGTGGCAGGGAGTTCCGCTACTGCGGATTATTTTTAAAGAAAGCAGCTGGGCACGAGAGCCGTCATGTGGCGTCTCATAAAGGAGAGACCCTGTCGACCTTGACGCGATTCCCTCGTGAGAAAGCTCCAATTCCATAGTGAGATGAGACAAAACTTGCACAGCTGCCGGTGGGCTGCTGTCATCCGCCTCAATGCCTGTCACCCACTTGCTTGCCATCCAGCAGTTAAGAGAATCTGAGAAATGGATCTGTGCATATGTGCATGGGCATGTGTGTCCGTATGTGCCTTGTGGGTTACACTGTATACAGGCGCATGTGTGTGTGTACGACGCCATCCACCTGTGTGCACGTGTGTGGGTAGGCAGTGGTTGATACCCGATGTCTCCTGCTATTGCCTTCCTCTTATTCTTTTGGGAGGAGGATTCTCTCGCTGAACCCAGAGCTCACAGACTGGCTACACTAGAGGGCCACCGAGCTCTGGTGTAGCTAGAGTTACAGACCACACCCAGCTTTTATGTCAGTGCTAAGGACTCAAACTCAGGTTCTACTCAGACAGGAGGGACTAAGCCGTCTCCCCACCCCTCGGAAATACAGCTTAACAACTCAAGGGAAGTCCTCAAAAGAAGAAGAAGAAAAGACAGAGGGAAGGAGGGACAATAGAAACACATACAATGGCTTTCTGCATCTGACTCTGGACCAGCACACACACACACACACACACACACACACACACACACACACACACACACACGGAAGGAGGGATCTAAAGAGAGAAGCCTTCCCACCAGCCTGGTTCCAGAGCCGCATCAGTCCCAAATAAACACACAGGAGGCTATATTAATTATGAAGCTGTTGGCCTTGCTTGTTTCTTACCGGCTAGCTCTGACTTAAGTATTTATCCCATAATTGTTAATCTAAGTATTTCTCTTACCAGAGAAGTTTCCAGGCTTCTTATCCCTATGGCGGTTACATGATGACTCCCTGTGTTTTTCCTTCCCAGAATTCTCCTCGACTCCTAGTCCCACCTATCTTGCTTCCCTAATGGCCAACAGTGCTTTATTGACATATACACAGGACTTCCCCCATCAGAGGGAGGGAGGGAGAGAGTGACTTGGTCTTCCTTAACTTGTTGGCCTCATTCCTATGTCTCCCCTCTGATCTACCAGTCACCCACACAATTGTTGCCATACTTGTGTCCCTATGAAATCCTTTTGCTAGGAATCAAGGGTTTGCCTGAAGATGGCTGTGAATTTGGAAGATTGCCCAATCTCTCTATGAATCTGTCCATGTCTGTACCCTAAGACTTAACCTCTCTGTCCAGGAATGATGGGAGATGCCATTCTGTAAATCTGTCCCCTATCTGTTGTTGAATAAAGCACTGTTGGCCAATAGGGAAGCAAGACAGGTGGGACTAAGAGTTAAGGAGGATTCTGGGAAAGAGAGGCAGAGACAGACACAATGTAGCCCGCCACAGGAGTAAGAGGTCCGGACCCTTTTCTCCGGTAAGAGAAATACTTAGATTAACAATTATGGTTTAAATACTTTAAGTCAGAGCTAGCCAGTAAGAAATAGAGCAAACAGCCAACAACTTCATAATTAATACAGTGTCTTGTGTGTTATTTGGGGACTACAACTGTGGCAGGGTCCAGGTGGATGGCGGGGGAAGGCTACACTCTACACAGGGAAACCAAGGCTCTGCCCCTGCCCTCCTCATGAGTGAAGTCAGATAATATGACTGCTTAGGTCATGCCCTAAGCCCAAGTTACCAGAAAAACAAGGCGCATCAAAGAAGGGTGGCCTCGAAGGAACCCAGGATCTCAACATTTGACAGAAGAGGAAATGGGGGCTTTCTACCTATTACTAGCCAGGAGAGCAGAGGGCTGTCTTCTGCCTGGGAGTCCCACCATGTGATCCACTAGTGGTTTGATGAAGCCAATCAGATCCACTCCGGAGACCTTTCCAGATCCTACATTGGCTAAGTCAGAATTCACCAAGTGAGCAGTTACCCCACAGTTGATGTGTACACCATCCTGCTTGGTCACGGTTGATGAGGACAGAGTCCCTGGTGATGTGCATCCCGCATTGCTGCCCTAAGTCGAAAACCCTCCCAGAAGATGAGGCATGGGGAGGCGAGTCTCATATGGCCAGTCTGGGGACATCTGAGTAAGTGTGGAATCTTAGACTGCATGAGGAAAGGCCTGGGAAATCGTCTTAGTTCACAGGTCCAGAGAGTTTGGTTCTGGTTCCTTAGTTCCATGTGCTTTTAGGCAGAACACCATGTCAACATGAAGCAGAAGTCCTGTGTATATGTCAATAAAGCACTGTTGGCCAATAGGGAAGCAAGATAGGTGGGACTAGGAGTCCAGGAGAATTCTGGGAAGGAGAAACACAGGAGAGTCATCAAGTAGCTGCCATAGGGGTAAGAAGTCTGGACTTTTGTCTCTGGTAACAGAGATGCTTAGATTAGAAATTATGGAGTAAATACTTAAGTCAGAACTAGCCAGTAAGAAACAAGTAAGACCAACAGCTTCATAATTTATATAGCATCCTGTGTGTTCATTTGGGACTGATGCGGCTCTGGGACCAGACTGGCGGGAAGGCTTCTCTCTACATCAACGTGAGCATGAGGAGATTCTTCACCTCCTAGAAGCCAGCAGACAGAGAAGAGGAAGTAGCCAAGTCTGGAATAACCTTCTGACAGTCAGGTTCAACCTCCTGAAGTTTCCACAAACTCCTAAAAGAGTGCCACTGTCTGAGGACCAAGCATTCAATACACAAGCCTGTGGATGACACTTTATATTCAAACCATAACATCTACTCTTAAAGATCGGGTCCAGAGAGGAAAGAACAGAAGCCTGCAGAGATGGGGTCAGAGAAACCCAACTGTTTTTTTAGAACATGGAGCTAATGTGCAGTTTGTCTCTGGTCAAGGTTCCCCTCGGAAACCCTGGTGCAGTGGGGCTCTGCCCATCCCATCAAGATGTTCGGTTATCAAGAACAGATCAGTGCTGACATCCAGTGGTCACTGAGAGTTATCTGCTTGAAGCTTTGTCTCTCTCTTCCAGGATGCCTGGGTGTTCAGATAGGGAAGGAGTGGTGGGTGAGCGCCTAGTGCTTGCTGTTCTCTTTGGAGAACTTGAACGCCTGTGGCCCAAGGCCAACGAGCCCAGGCTGATGCCCTGACAAGTTTGCAAGATACCAATGGCCATTTGAACGGCGACCTCAGATTCACAGGGACGCGCACGCGCGGAGCCATTGCTAACAAGGGAGTAATCTCATAAAGAACAAAGCACAGACAGTTTATGCGGCCTCCTGGGAGACACACTCGACTTGATTCAGGATCTGGGGCAAGAGCCACGCCAATCAAATCGCTTAACTCTTCCTTCTGAGACAGGGCACCAGCCCCCACCGGTCTCGGAAACGCCAAAAGAGAATGCGCAAAATGAGAATGCGCAAAAAGCGTCTTGCAAACTGTGAAGCGCTGCACGTCAGAGGCTGCTGGGATAAGGTTGCTGAACAAAATGGCGCTGGGGGAAACGCGCGCTCAGAAGTATTGTGACTCGGGGCTTGGCAAGACGACGAATACGAACACATCCACATTCCGCGCTTATATTTGTGGACACCAAGAGCCTCGCATTTGGTAAGAATGTCCTCATTTCGAGTGCACACAGCACTCACTGTCCCTGCTTCTCTCTCTCTCTCTCTCTCTCTGTTGGGAGTCTCTCCGTTCAAGGTCTTCTACATTGTTTGCTCCCTGATGCATGTATTGGTGCTCTGTTGTCCCCCTAGACCCATTGATTGCTTAGGACAACATTTATATGTCCTGCTAACTGCAGGGTCCCCAAAACGGAACTGGCATGTGGTGACGGCCAAGCAGTACTTACTAAATGGCATTGGACGGGACCCAGTGACTGCTGAAGAGCTGTGTGACCCCGTGGCCCTGCGTTCACGCTGCAACAGCCACAGCACTTAAATTTAGAACTTTGTTCCCAATAAACTCATGAGTCATGTATTAGTATTCTCCTCACTCTACAGGCGAGAGAACAAACCCCCGGAGAGGCTCAGAGGTTTACCTGACGTCATGTCACTAGAGAGGAACAAAAACAGGACTCCCAGCCCAGCGCTCACCAATCTCAACTCAGCGTTCCCTGTCCCAACCTACGCTCCCCCCCCCAATGAAGCCTAGTGCTCTCTGCCACCCCCTGCCTAATGTCCATCCTCCAAGCCGGAATAGGCGTGTCAGAGTCGGATGGAGGTCAGCAGAGTGAAGGCTGCAACAAGGAGGTTTTCAGAACGAGGTGGTTACGAAAGATCCCCCCCCCCCCAGCTGTACTTTGTTCATTCGCTTCCTGTGAGCTTCGTGGGAATCTAAGTATATCCACTTCAAAGTAGCTGGACACCCACCCTGCAGCAATTTCCTTCAGAAGCAAGGTCTTTCTCAAGGTAGAGATAGCAGGGTTGAAGGGCAAATAGCTCCTGGTCTCTCAGATGCTGGGGAAGGTTTTGTTTCTGAGTCAGCACCCTACAGTCTGGTCATCGATGTTCAAGGTGCATGAGTGTTTAGCCTGAACGACGCCTGGTGCCCGTGGAAAAGGGAAGAAGAGGGCAGGGCATTGGGTCCCCTGGATCTGGAGTCACAGACGGCTGTGAGTCACCATGTGGGTGCCGGGAATCTAACCTGGGTCCTCTGGAAGAGCGGCTGATGGCTCCTAAACACTGAGTCATGTCTGCAGACCCTGTGGTTGGATCTTAAGTCCCCAGGCCGAAAGTTCGTGTGTTGAAAGCTCTGTTCCCATCCAGTGGTGGGGTAAGATGAATCATTGGGGTATGCCCCAGGAGATTGGGAGCCTAGTTCTCCCCTCTCTCCCTCTCTCTCCCCCCCCCCCCTCTCTCTCCCTCCCTCTCCTCCCCTCCCTCTCCCCTCTCACTCCCTCCCTTCCCAGTCACAGCAAGTGGAACAGATTCGCTCTACCATGCACTCTTCATTATGCTTCTGCCTCACCCAGGCCCGAAACAGTGGGGTCAAGGGGCCATAGACTAAAACCTCTACCACCCTGAGCCAAAATAGGCATTTTTCTCCTTTGACTTTCTGGGGGTATTTTGCCACAACGGTGTAAAGATGACTAACATAGCATAGTTTGGTCTGAAGCAACAGAAGGTCAGTTTAAGCAAGCTCAGACAAAAGATGTCTCACTTAAACATGAAAAAAACAAAACAAAAAAAAAACTAACGGCAGCTGGGTCACAGATGCAGAGGAGACCAAGGACTCCATTGCCTCTGCCCGACCATCTCACTGGCCTCCCAGCTTCCCCCATGCCAGGCCACAGCTTCTAACTCACACCCCTACCTGGAGATGGGTCCCAACATGAAAACTCAAAAGGGAAGAACTCTGGCTGGTTACCTCTGGTCAGGTGCCCACCCATGAGCTAGACAGAAGCAGCCGCGTGTCGTGAGCGTATGATGTCACATATCCCAGCCTGGGTTCTGCTCCTGGATGTCTGAGCCTCCCCAGAGGGAAGGGCAGACGCTGTAATCCAGACATCCGGCCATCAGAATCCCTGCTGTTCAGAGCCTTCTCACCCTGATTGCCATGTGACCTCTTCAAGTGCTTTCATAATGCTCAGAGGTTCTCGATATTCGCAAACGAAAACAACAATCCCCACCCCCTCCCTCCCCTCCCCGCTGAGCTCTCAGCATTATGTGGGGAAACAGAAGAAATGGACCAACCAAACTCTCAAGCTCCGGGTCACTCCTACTTATCTCCAGTCTCCAGGTGGCAGCCTCACTTCCGTTGCAGTATTGACCCAGAGATGAGCCTACCTCTGCTCTTCTTGCTCCCAGACAGTCGTCCCGGAGAACAAACTTGCCAGGTTGGTTGCGTAATGGCCTGCAGGAGGAAATATCAGGGCTACAAACACACCCTGCGCAAAGCTCAAGCCCCTGAACTCCCATGCCACTAGGCCGTCCCCTTGTGAGCCCAAAGGCTGGGCCTCTCTGTATAGAAAGAGAAGTTTGCCTGTGGAAAGCCGCCCATCTCTCCTGCAGAGGCACCGCTACCCACCTGTCCTGGAGGAAGTCCGGAAGTCCGGTCTCCTCCACACGCTGCACTTTCATTGGCTTGGGCTGGACCTTGTGAAAGGTTTGGGCTCCACCTTTATTTCTGCTTCCCACCAGCAGGGGGCAGCCACGGACGTTACTGTTGGGTCTTGAACTGAAAATAAATGAAGGCAACCGTTCTCCTTGCGGCTCAGGGAGGCTCTGCTGGCCAGCCAAGGACTGGTACCTCTGCGACCGGACCCACCGGACGCCAAGGTCAGGAACGGACCCATCACTCACACCATGCTTAAGAACTGCCCACACCCAAGCCCCTCACTTTCGTAGCACTGAGGTAGGTTAAAAAGCAGATGCCTGGGTCTGGAGAGATGATGGCTCAGGGGCTAAGAGCACCGGCTGCTCTTCTGGAGGACCTAGGTTTGAATCCTAGCACTCACATGGCAGCTCACAACTGCCTTGTCACTCCAGTTCCTGGAGATCTGACGCCCTCTCCTGGCCTCGTTAGACCCAACACCCTCATCTGGCCTCGTTAGACACCAGGCACTGGCATGGTGCATGAACGTGCGTGCAAACAAAACACCCACCACATGCATGAAAATAAGTAAATAGCTTTAAAGTGGATGCCAGCAGATGAGCTGGACAGTTACCTGGATTTCATAGGTCAGACAAGCCAGGATGTGGGAGGAAATCCGATAAAGCCTCCCCAGAGCTAGGCATGGAGGGAATGAGAGAGCTAAGATTCGTAGTAATTACCCAAAGAAAGGACAGGCAAAGGGAAATTTTGTACGGGCATGGAATATACGGGAAAACTTAGCCTTAATACAGGCTGGGAAGTCTGTGTTGACCTGCATGTCTCCTGAGGACTTTGTGTCTGTGGATCTGGATGGTGAAAAGCTTCCTCCATCTCGTATTCTTGCTGAGGCCGTTTTAGGCTTAGCACTGGAACTCAGTCTCTTTGATGGAGAGAACCCCATGAAAAATTACCCAGTTCTATTCTAGGAACCCAAGGTCAAGAAACTACAGTTAGCTTCTGTTAAACAGCTTGCTTGCTTAAAACCTACACCCCCCACCCCCGCCTCTGCTGAGAGAGATACTGGGATGTGGTATTTGTCTTTAAAAACCCCTTTACCCTGAACACTACACTTGGTCCTAAATACCTGAGTATAGTCCTAGCTGGGTGTTCCCAGGCTGGGTCCCCCCGGGTATAAACTGTGCCTGGGTGGTCATCTCTGGCGGTCTTCCTGTAATAGATCTCTTGGCATAGAAACATGCACACCTGAAAGATCAGGAATTTGTGAGTCACACAAGTGCTTTGGCACAGGTGGCCTAGAGCCCTCTCTTTTCTTCAGGGCATCTGTCAAGCCCCATGGGTCCCCAGCTTCTTATTCCTAGCTTCTCTACCTCAGTAGGCTGTGGCAGAAACGAAAGATAAAGGAGCCCCGTGTGACAAAAAACGTGCAGATAGCAATACTAAAGCCGGCCCTGTTAGAGCTGCTGGTGGCAGCAGACCAGGCCAAGATTAGAAAGCATGAATTCTTCGGGTCCAGAAGGCAGAGTGCCTCCTCAGGCAGCCACACAGGAAAAGCCACACAGGGCCACGGGCCTATCACGTGTGGACCAGGGGAAGCCCTTCCTTTGCTGTCTGCTGAACTCCCTGTCCTTGGGGAAGGTCTGGTGTGGTTTGAAAAATCATGGAGAGCAGCCTAGAACTCTCCTCCTTCTTGGGAGCCGTGGGACAGCAAGACGAACCAGAAAGAAGCCTGGTCCTCTGCCTCCGCCCCTCTCTTTAGTGGTAGGCAGCTCTCCTGATTGATGTCTGGGTGCCTGCCGTTGTCTCAGACTTGCAATCAATCCCCAGGTGTGTCAAGACGCTTCCTATTTCCTTACAACTGCTTGCCTAGGCCTGCAGAGTCTGCAATCCTATTAGCAGGATTTGTTTTTGCTGTGTTTGTGAAACGAAATACAATGAAGGGCCTCTCTCCCAGTTCTCTGGGCCCCTGTGTGTCCCTGCATACCGTCATTCTGTGGAGGAATTGTAAGTCCCTCCCTAGGGGACAGAGGTGCCCTCTGTCTGTTTGGTGTCAGGCGGACTTGGGAAGGATTCGTTGCTTGGCTCCTCTACTAGGAACAGGCAAGTCAAAGTCCATCTCGCCTTTAGTGAGGAATCCCGGTGGCTAGGAAGAAGAGGTGCTTGTGACAGGTTAAAGCAGAGACATCGTGCAGCTGAGTCACAGCCAAGAAACAGGGATTACAGGTCAACAGAACCCAGGTGGAGAGATAAGGGTTCAAGACACGGGTTCTGCCTCTCCATGGTGACCTTGAGAAATGATTCAGGTGTTCCATGAGTTTCGGTGCTTTTTCATTTGCAAAGTGGGTGGGAAATTTTCCTTCTAAGGAGGGAGAATAGGACGAAATGAAATGTAGGCCCTTAGGGCTGGAGCCGCACAGCTGTTCCCCTTCAGTCTCCCCATCACACCCTGGCTAGTCCTCTTGGTGTGTGCAGAGAGGGTAGGTGGACATCCACAGACACAGGGGCAGGTACCTTCGTGTGGAGGCTGGAGGACAGCTTTCAGTGTCCTCCAGGTGCTGACCTGCTGTTTTTTTTTTCCTTGAGACAGGAACTGTAAATGGCCTGAATCTTGCTCACTAGGCTAGGCTGGCTGGCTAGCGAGCCCTAGGGAGATCTGTCTGTCTGTCTCCCAGGCACTAGGATTTACACATGCACCTCCCTACACTCCCCTCTTTTAGACCGAACATCATTTCTAGGGAACAAACTCAGGTCCTTGTGCTTGCAAAGAAAACACATTACCAGTTAAGACATCTCCCCAGCCTGAGGTTCCCCCCCCATTTGTCTCTTTGTCTAGAAATAAAAGCAGCTTGAAAACCCTTGTAGTAGCTAGCCTTCATCCAGTAACTGATGGAAGCAGAAGCAGAGAGTCACAGCCAAGCACTGAGCCGAACTCCTGGAATCCAGTTGTAGAGAGGGAGGAGTGATGAGCAAAGGGGTCAAGACCAGGCTGGGGAAACCCACAGAAACAGCTGACCTGAGCAAGTGGAAGCTCACGGACTCCAGTCTGACAGCTGGGGAACCAGCATAAGCCAGAACCAGGCCCCCTGAATGTGGGTGTCAGTTGGGAGGCCTGGGCAGTCTATGAAGCCTCTGGCAGTGGAACCAGTATTTATTTATCCCTAGTGCACAAATGGTCTTTGGGAGCCCATTCCCTATGGAGGGAAACTCTCTCAGCCTAGATACATGGGGGAGGGCCTAGGCCTTGCCCCAAATGATGTGACAGACTTTGATGATCCTCCTGAAGAGTGGATAGGGAGTGGAATGGGGGATTAGTTGAAGGAGTGGGAGTATGGGAGGGAGAGGGAACTGGGATTGGTATGTAAAATAAGGTTGTTATTAACTTAAAAGAGTAATTAAAAAAGGAAACCTTGTAGTAGCCAACTCATTGCAAGCAGAACAGAAGTTATCTCTAAGTAATTAGGAAATACATACTTCACTGAAAATTTGTTTGCACCCAAACATCCCCATCCCATGCTATTTTAGGAACAAGCCACAAAGACATCCTCACCGTCCTCTGGGGCGGGTATAAGGATTGATTTGTGAACACATTTGAGTCTTTGACTTGTCTAGTGGGTACATGACCCTTGCAGGAGATGATAGAAACAAAATCATTGGAGTTGATCAGGGCCTTGAAGGGTATCTGTTCCCAGAGAGTTCAATGCTGGGCTTCCAAGGAGAAATCCACACTTTTAAGTTTGTTTCTTCCCATCGCCCACAGGAGCAGCTTGACTGGGGGGATTTTACTTTGCTCTTTTTTTGTTGAGATGTGGGCTTGTGTATTATTAGAACTCATCTGCAAACACCATCTGAAATATTAAAGGCGCCTGTCAGCTCCAGGTTCAAACGCATTGTCTCAGCAAGCTTCTGAAGGCTAGACCATGCTGAATGCAAAGTGCCCAGCAGCCTTCAAAAACACTGGTCTGCAAGTCTCCGTCTGTTTGGCCACTGGGGGATGACAGTGGCCTTTCACTCTGTCTGTAGAAAGGTAATTGGGAAGCATCAGGCAGCATCCATCCAAAACACTGGTCTGGCTGAGCATTGCAGGGGGGTGGGAGGGTGGTTCCATGGGGTGCAGCAGAGAGCACCCCCAGGCTACAAAGGGTCGGACCAGATGGGGTCTTTCCTGTCTCTCTGCAGACAGAGCCATGCTGGGAGCCTAAATAGGGAAGCCAACAGACAGTAAAGAGACCACACAGGCTCTGCAGTCTCAGAAGGAGGACCGCCTGCTTTCTCAAGACACCTCCTGGGTGACCTTAGGCAAGCAGTTTCGCTTGCTTGAGCTGGTTGGTCAATCAGTAAGAGGGAAGTAGCTTGGTTAGGGAAACTTTTTACATAATCACCACAGAATCACGATTATATAAGGAAATGCCCATACCTTTTAGAAATGCAGGGTACACAGAGATGAAGAACCTAAAATCTGGGATTTATTTAAAATAATTCAGCAAAAACAAAAGTGGGGGATGATTCCATTTACATCAAGTTCAGGAACAGGCAAGACTAATCTATGGTGATAAAAATAAGTAAGAACATGGATTGCCTTTAGCAAACAGAACTTTCTGGAATATGGAAAGCCTTCTACAACTCAAGTCAATCTGAATGACAACATGGTCATAAACCTTTCTCAGAAGTCATTGCCCTACAAAGGGCCCAGAATAATAATAGCTCTGTGTGTTTAGAAAAAAAAGTTAACAATTATGTGTCTATAAAATTATTGCAAACAAGCATACGTAAAAATCTTAACATTTTGGGGGATTTTAGTCTAAAAGATGTGAGAATTCTTTGTACCATTTTTTTAGCTTCCTCTAAATTTGAAATTACTTTGATGTAATAAATATTCTTAAAAGTCATCAATCTGGTCTCCTCAGTTTGACACTTTTTTGCTACATATAGATTATACACCAGGGCGGGAAAAATGTATCACAAGAAGGACTTGACAACTGTCAAATGTGAGTGATAGATGTGCAGAGGCTCCTTATGTTATCTTTTCTACCTTTCTTTGACTATTTTTTTTATGGGTAAGTCTTTTTGTTTTTGAAATATGGTCTTACTAGCCCACTTTGGTGGTTTGAATGAGAATGGCCCCCATAGGCTCATAAATTTGAATAATCCGTCTTTAGTTGGTAGAACTGTTTGGGAAGGATTAGGAGGTGTGGCCTTGCTGGAGGAGGTGTGTTTCAAGTCCCATGGCGTTGGCATTCCCAGTCAGCTCTCTTGCCTTGTGCTTGTGGATCAGAATGTAAGCTCCTGCTCCCACACCTCGCCAGCCTGCTCTTTGCCATAACGGTGATGAACTCATGCTCTGAAGCTGTTAAGTCCCAATAAGTGTTTCTTCTGCAAGTTCTCTGAGTCCTGGTATCTTCTCACAGGAATGGAAAAGTTACTAAGACACCCACTCTGCTCCCTGAACTTATTATGTCATCAAGGATGACTCTGAACTTCTGACCTTCCTGCCTCTATCTGGTGAGTGCTAGGTTTATAAGTGTCGCCACCATGTCTGTTTCATATTGTATGCAAGCCTGGTAAGCACTTAACCAACCGAGTTATATCACCTGCCTCCAGGTGTGCACCACCAGCACCAGGCGGTAACGAGTCTTTTCTAAATACTTCAGTGAGAGCCTCTGGTCCGGTGTCGTCTTCCCATAGAAGCTACTCTGACTGAGCAGGCAACTCCACAGGAGAAATCACAGAGAACAGATACAACCATATACCGTACAATTGAGAACCTCTCAGTGTAGAGTGTAGTCTTCCTTGGCAGTCGTTTGGGCCCTGCTGCCCTGTCTGAACTCCCAAAATAACACACAGGATGCTATGTTAATTATAAAGCTGTTGGCTGTTTGCTTGGTTTCTTACTGGCTAGCTCTGACTTAAGTACTTAACCCATAATTGTTAATCTAAGTATTTCTCTTACCAGAGAAAAGGGTCCGTACCTCTTACTCCTATAGCAGCTACATCGTGTCTGACTCTGCCTCTCTTTCCCAGAATCCTATCTTGCTTCCCTATTGGCCAACAGTGCTTTATTCAACAACCAATAAAAGACAGATTTACAGAATCACATCTCCCATCACCTCAGGATGGAATTTCACTTCGGGCCAAGGAAACATCTTCCCTGACTGAGACCAGAGGGGGAAAAGTCGGGGCTATTTCAAGAAAATTGAATGCATTTCTTAATGCAGACTTTATTTCTCCCAGGGATGGTGTTGGACCAGGTGATCCTAATCCACAGGCATGGAGACCTTGGCTTTTTTTCTCACCTACATGGCCAGTGGTCCTTGTGACCTTGGCCTCTTGTCTCTACGAATAGATGGTTGCTTACATCGAAGGAACTCTTGAGGACAGCCCATCTTTGTAGTCCCTTGATGAAAATAGTGCTTGGTGGTGATGGACTCTAGGTCAAGGAATGGGTGGCAACTGAGTTTCACTGGCTTCCAGAACAAGGCAGCATATGAGTGAGGATACAGGCCACCTAGTGGCTGTTGACGGCCACCTTGTGTGGTGAGATCTCCAAATCCTGGAAAGAAGTTGACAATCTGGACTTTTTTCTCCCCCCCCCTTACAACTCTCTCATTTACAAATGACAGAATTTATTTAAAATTCTATTTTGAAATGGTGCATGAGTCTAACAACAATTCTACTTCCCAGGCTGTCTTTGGTGTGGTGTCACTGCCCCCACCCACCCACCTGAGTTCCCCAGTCTTTTTAGAATCAGAGCTTTTTGGGGGGGTTACTAAGTCTCTCAGAGACCTCCACCTCAAAATTGAAAAAGAATGTTAGCAATAAACATTTTAACCTACCAACGCCGTAGAGAAAAGACTTTTGTAACATTTTCCATGCTCCACCATAGAAAGTCTTTTTAGGCTGCCAGTGCCAGTGATGGCACACATTTATCTACATATGTACGTGAGACACAAACCCACATATGTGTGTGAGACACACAGAAGAGATTCATAAGCAAGAGTTCCTACTACACACAATGTATGTCGAACTTTTTATTTTCTTTCATTATACTTCATCTGAACACTGGTACCAGCAACCCAGTAAGCTAAGTCCACAGACCGTAGTAGAAAATTTTGCTTTACAATTCCCATTTACTGACTTCTCATCTAATCTCCTCTTACCAAGGTAGGAGTCTTCACTTCCATTTCACAGGGTAGGTAAATAAATCTTGAGCTTGTCTGTTTATTGAGGGAGCATCTCTGTTTGTAGCCCCGACTGATCTGGAATTTGTTATGTAGGAGAAGCTGGCCTGGAACTCAGAGATCTCCTTGCCTCTACTTCCAGAATACAGAGATTAAAGATGTTTCCCACCTTGCCAGAATATATGTTTTATTTTCCTAAGATGAGTCAGTGTAGCTCCAACTTGTGTGCAGTACAGAATGTAATGGTATTGTTTCCAACCAATCTCATCATGGCCGTCAGTTCTGGGCCAAGGAGCTTGGCATCCCCAAGCAGGGCCTTCCCTGAGAGAACATTTAGACTATTCTGCCTTGGTTGAGTCACTCCCTGTCCCTTTTCCTTGTGTTGTTTGTCTCCAGTTTTATAAAGAGAGCCAAGGCAAGATGGGGTGTGTCTTTAAAAAAAAAAAACAGCAGTAATGTCAAGCCCTGACACTAATGTCTTTTTGCTTTCTCCAGAGTCACTTGCTCCAGTGTGGAATAAATAGTTGCTGTGCAATGTTGGAAAGCCAGCGAGTCTTAGATTAGCATCACAAAAGTCAATTAGCAGAGACAATTTCTTCTTTAATTTTTATTTGTTTATTATTAACAGCTCTAAGACCTCCTAGTTCAGTAAATTAGCCTAGGTAACCGGGGAGCAGAGTACAAACACTTTTTTTTCCTTTAATGACCCTAAAGACTTATCTCATACAGAAAAAAAAAAACCATATTCAGGCGTAGGGAGAACTCCCTGCCCTTGTACGCAAGAAAGCACGAGGGAGCCACTCTGATAAATGTGATGTTTGTTTATCAAAATGTTACAGGCCATCCTGGCTAGCTGCCACCCCCTCCCACCCTGGTACTGTCTTGATGACAGGACTCATTATGCAAGGAGGAGATACGGGGGCCTCAACCGCCTTTGCTGAAAGATGCGCAAGCTTTGTTTTCTAGCTATGAACAACAGTAATAGTAATAATAAAGAGGAGAAGGAGGGGGAGAGGAGGAGGACAAGGAGGGAACCAGTGTCTTAACCTGCAAGGGTTGGGTTCCAATGGCAGAAGCTGTGCCCTCCTTTAATGAGAGGGCATTCTCTCTGCTCTTATGTCCAGAAAGAACGGCAACTGTAGGCTGTCTTTTTCACTGAAATAACTGTCTCAGGAAGGTCTGGAGGCTGCTGCCCCTCCTCCGTGCTGGGTTCTTCCAAAAAGGAATGCCGTTAAGAGTGACAGGGTGCCATACCTAAATTCCAGGTATTTGCGTGGGGATACTTACAACTGCCGTATAAACTGTATGGTGAAGGGGAGGGTTTTATTGTAGAGATGAGAGAGAGAGAGAGAGAGAGAGAGAGAGAGAGAGAGAACAGCCCAGAGGTACCTGGAACAGTCCAGAGCAGAGAAGGGGAAGTAGTTAGACTGAACATGATAGGTAGGTACCTGTGATACTGAGGGATCCTGGAGGCCATAGACACTATGCATAGTCATTTGTCCCTTCTGCCAGTGATAAGATAAATGTCTCCTTTTGGTAGAGAGGAGTTCTTGAGGAATGCTGGCCACCATAGTGAATGGCTGGAGAAAGACCCCAAGCAACCTCATGGCAGGGATCTTAAAGGGCAGCGTAAGGGGTGTGTCTAGGGGGTATGAAACAGTCTCAGGATTGGTGCACTTCCAGGTTTGGGTGACCTGCCCTGTGTTGATTGGTCAACTGGTTGTTATGGCCCATAGGCCCTCCCAGGGCAGTTGCTATGCTCTGTACATGTCACTGTTGTACACTGTCTGTAAAGCACACCCAGAGCTGTAAAGCACAGACAGCCCCGCCAGCTAACTTCTGGTTGGCTCCTTGTCATGAGGGGCATCTGACCTCCTAGTGACCAGGACAGGAGCCGCAAGGTCATGCAAGCACATGTTAGCCCGTAATGGCTGCTAAAATGGGGGACTGGTCACTACAATACATCTGCATCCATGTTCCCATAACTCAGAGAAACTCACTGGTTCTCTGATCTAGACTTGGGTGGAGTCATTTGTTGTTGGCTCTGTTGTCAATATCTTATACGGGGTGAGTAGACATTTGTCCCCATCCCCTTAGGAAAAGTCACGCATCAGATTAGGACATGCACCCTAGGCTCTCTGAACACAGGAAATGGTCCATCGAGAACGGCCAAGATGGTGTCCTTGGGAGAAGTTGGTGCTTTCTACTCTTGTTCTCTACTTTTTCTGCCTTGATTTCTGTGCCTGGGTGGCAACCTTCATCCTTCCTGTGGCTACACGGAACTCTGTGCCTGTGTCCTTCAGACAGCTTTCTTGAGTGACCAGCAGGCCTTAGCTGAATGGGTTTCAGACAGAGGTCAGAGGGGGTTGCAAAGAAACTATGCCTCTATGCCCAAAGAAACCTATCCATCTCCTTCAGTGACAAGGTAAAATGATATGAAAATTGCTTTTATTTCTGACAAAGCCTACTGCTTCCAGAGAGAAGCTCTTTGGAACATAGCTGGTCCCAGGAATTCCAGGGCCTCTTCAAACCTTCTAGAAAGAGCTCCATGTGATGAGGGGCAGGTAGACAGCCTCAAGCAATGGCTACCTATGGAACCCAATTGTCTGCTGTCCCATCCTTCAGAGCTCCATGGGTCTGCAGGGCCGTGTATTTACATATTACGGCTATCTGCCTGAATGAATAGCTGCATTCAGTGTTCCCTTGGCTGGAAAGTCTTCCCAACCCCCACTTCCTTCTTTCACCCAGTGAAACACCCACTCACCCTTCAGATCTCAGGCATGTGGGCCCTTCTTTGAGAAGCCTTCCTGCCCTTGGGGCTGTTGCCTGTGGTGTTTGATCTCACCATGCCCAGAGACACCTGTCTGCCATGGCCTTTTATAGCTTGCAATTATGCATTCATTTGTTTCATCTCTCCTTGCCTCTTCCAAGGTCACAAGCCCCATGCAGGAAACACAACATATAGCTGACTCATCTCTATGACCATCACTTGATAGGCACTCAGCAAATCCTCATTGGCTGGTGAATGAATACAGAGAAATATAGGACCCGTCCCTCGCCTCCTATTGTGTCCCACCCTTTCTATTTGCCTCGAAGCTTTGTCCATCAAAAGCAGTATAGTCAAAGGTAGAGTCCTTAAAACTTACTATATAGCTCAGGTACCACTTACAAGGAGCTGAGGGAAAACAAGTATGAAAAAAAAATGAACCAGAAATTGCATTGAAGTCTAAGTCTTTAAAAGAAAAAAAAAAAAGGCAAACATTACACCAATAGTGGCACCCATGAGTTGTTTCAGGAAGAAGACTGGAATAGGAAAGAATCAATACTGTTTGTTTTCTACCAATTAACTTCGTGTTTCAAACAGGAGAAGAATCTGGGCTTCTTCCTATTGCTCTTTACCGTTTGGCGGTGCCATGCTATTGTTACACCAGATAGGGGACAGAAGGTTAGAAAGCCAAGGACTTCAGCTTATTCATGAGAGGAGATACAAGAAGGTTAGATTCTTACCTGTCAAGCTGCAGAATGGAGGGACCTTATCGGCTAGCTAGCTGGCTGCCCTTCAAAACTATCTTTAGCACCAAGAGGAAACTGGAGATATCAACAGACAAAAGCAGCTTGAGATGGCACTCTCTTTTGGACTAAAAAGCGTGTAGCTTGCCTCTTATTACACAGAAGCCCACAGGTGTCCCTGGGCCATGTAAGAAAGCTCACCAAGTGCGAGCTCACAACTGAGCCGTGGAGCGCATTCCGCCATGTTTTCTGCTGCTCTCTACTGGCTTTTGAGTGAGTCTCCTGGTTAGAGGTGATGCTGTGTGGGACAACACACCCGCCTGTCTTCCAGTCCCTGCCCAGTTTCCCTCAACGGTGCACCGTGAGCTGAAAGTGTAAGTCAAATCAGTCCTCTGCTCCCCTACGTGGCTTTTGGTCAGGGTGTAGCGTTGTACTACAGACCACATTGCTCAAGACAAACCGGAAGACTGGTGTCACTGTTGTGCAGGCCAGAAGTCTGAGGTCAAGGTATCTGCAATCAGGATCCCTCCTGAGCATCTAGGGGAAAATTCTTCCCCAATTCCTTCCATGTGAGTTGGCTCCCAGAGTCCCTGCATTGTGCCATAAGACTCAGGCAGGTAGTGAAGACTTCCTACCCTATCGCCAGCACTCTGGAGGTAGGGCAGAGGCTCCAGAGTTCACAGCCACCCTTGGCTACAGCAAGCTTGAGGCCAGCCTAGGATAGATGAGACCCTGTCTTAAGAAAAGAAAGATGTATGGCTAAAGGTGGAGAGAAAGGAAGTCCTGTTTTCCCAGACTAAACACTATTCATACACGCTTAGTGTATGACCCCTGGACTCTGAGACAAGACCATTTGTGCTGGTTGTTTTGGTAAGAAGTAGCACGTAGCCCTCTGAAAGTCCTTTGCAAAGCAGAAGTTTCCTAACCTTCCCACGCCACTGGAAGTGTGTTCGTGAGAATGAACCAGATTATGTATCAAGTACGGTAGCAACTGTGTAATCACCATTTGTCAGAAAGACAGACAGGACAGGACTCCCTCTGTGTCATTGCCAGGGATGCTGAGGTCGGCTAAAAAAAAACATGGAGGAAGAAAAGTCTGCTTTGCTAAGCACTTTTGTGGCCAGGCCCCAGTCACCAGCCTGGGGGTACTCTTAATTACTCCCATGCTGACGGCGGAGACGCCTATAAAAAGGT